AAGAAAATGCTTTTTCATCAGGGGCAAATCTTGCCGACCAGAAAAACTACCGTAAATCGATATGTGTGCCATGACCTCTCAGTGTGAAACAGGCGTCTACAATCACATTTGCTCTGTAATATAGAACCTTCCATAGCATAATCTACCCAGCAGAAGCAAAAAATGTTATTGAAACAAGCAGCATTTTGGCATAAAAAGTCGTGTAGGCCTACCACCGCCTTTTCAGTTGCTACGGAAGTCGGAAGTCAGAAGTTGAAAGTCGGTAGTCGGAAGTCGGAAGTCAGGGGTCCGAAGACCCTCCTCGGCTTTCGGATAATATGTATTGGGACGAGGCTAATTAACCCAAAGGAGGATATTACCATCTTCTCGTCATGCATTGTTGTCAAACTTATTATCAACGGCCGAATCCCAGTGTCGCTGCGGAGGAAACACAAGGGCACAAAAGATCATCGCGATCCGAATAGTCGGTTAAGAAAATCCAAATCGATCCGTTTTCTGCAATGTTCCATGTGTGATGCTCCTTCAGGAACGTCGCAAGCGATGGTCAAGTCAAAGGAAATGGAAATGAATTGACTAGAAACGTGGCTCCAAAACTTTCCCAGTGTTCGGGTGTTTTCTCTCTTAGACCACAAATTAGTCTATGGAATTTTCCCTTAAATGTAGTTTGAATCAGGTGATGATCCTTCCTGGTAACTATGTTACAGGCATCCTCATTCGGTGATCGAAAGATTCCTTGTAGGAGTCCCAGATGTCACAGTCGGGGATGGGGGGACTCCGCATATGAAAGGGGTGGGGATGCTCGTCGGAAATTTTGAATTAAACCCCTAAAGGAGACCGATCTGGGCGTGGTCCAACCTTTTTTTGACCCCTAAAAGAGACCATGTTAAAACACAGACAAATGAGAAAACTTGAACTATATGAATGGAGTAAATAAAACAAATTAAAAATATACATGTCAAGTGTCGTCCTACCGATTTCGGACCATACGAAACAACACTGTCGCAATAAAAGATCAATGATAACTCCTGAAGCCTGAACTCCTGTAATTATTAAATGATATTTCTATATTTTTTCGCGTACAACCCTAAACGAGACCTTCACGGCTAAATATGATGGCGTTTTGCCCAGAACACCCTAAGTGAGACCAAAATCCGAAATTTACACCCCTAAGCGAGACGACGAGCATCCCCACCCCTTTCATATGCGAAATCCCTCTCCGCCCCGGGTGTCGCACTCTTTTGCCTGGACTTGGCTATGGACAGCTCCTAATCAGCAATGAAAGCATGTCCTCTCCTGGGAGTCGCTACCGCCATGTCCGCGTTACCAAAAAACATGAAAATGAAGGAAAAAACTGGCGAATTGGTGGCGAATCAGTTCTTTGTTTGGATAAATAAATTAGCATTTCTGATAGAAGATAAACATACCTAACTTTATACGTCCCTAAGAATGTCTACGGAGGAGGCTAAAAAAATACTGGCTCCGAATGAAACTCATCAAAGATGACCTCGTGACTCTTATGCATGTGCACCCAACTATGTAGGCAAATTCCCAGGAGAACACCACGTGGTCTGAATATACAAGCTAAAAATCTAAAAAGGTCTATTGGTAGTGGGTTAAGAGAAGAAATCAAGCAATAACATTTTTCTTACTCTATTAAATATTTCTAACACTTCACGTTTTGAATGACCGTCTATTTCACTTCAACTGAAAAAATTTGTGGGAAAAATCATTTTAAATGCCCGAATTGGATTTACCCAGACTTCACCGCGGCTTCATTTTTCGTGTTTCATCTTCCGCGCGCTAAAGCCATGTGATCAAGATTCTCCAATCAGCGTATGTAATGGCAACCAGTCTACACGTTCCCAGCACGAATGACCATGAGTGGCAAGCAAAAGAGGGTGATTCAACTCCCGATTCTTTCGTTTATTGGAAAGGAAAACACACCTTTCTTGAGAGAAAAGCCATACCTGAATACCTGACCATTTTTGCGGTTGATTGAAGTTGAAGAAAAAGCCAGAGTTCTCGAACCAATAATCGGATAGCGTGAACAGGAGGCCGGTTCTGGCGTGAAAACACGATGTAAGTTTTAATAGACTTGGTACTGACGACTGTATTTTGTTACATTATAACTGTAAGCTAAAATGGGTTTGCTCCCTGGGTTTTATTTTTAATTATTTCAACCCAAGCTTGTATACACGATTACCAAGTCCTTTCAACATTCCGCCATATTAGATTTGTAACGCGCGCCTGCGCAATACCCGCTTGAGTACAAGAAAATAAGAGTTTATTTCTAAGCTGAACTTTGAGAAAATTTGTGCAAACAATGCTAAAATGAAAATTAGACAAGACTGAAAGCATTGAGCAATGCAAGGCAATAAGCCGTCATGCGCGTGGATTATATTGGGTACAAATATTTCACGATGTAATGCACTGGTCAATTTCCTGGTTTTCACATGACGTCACCGAAATTCAAACTAAGAAACTATTGCTTCTTGTGAGTTTCTACTTTCATGTGGTATTACAGCACCTTAATACCAACAAATTTTCGGTTCAAAAGGGTTCTTTGTTTTGCGATACAGGACACTTGAATTTCCGGGCTTTTGTGTGACGCGGTATTCAGCTGACGGCCAGAAAAGCTCTTATGTGGGTTAAAAACATAACCGATTTTGGGAGATTTTGCTATCTAAACATTCCTTGTCTCAGAATAAATATTACTTTAATCTTTATGAGTTCCTCAAGCGGAGAATTCACGCAATACAGTAGGAAAACTCAAAAACTGTTGGTTTCCAGTGGCCATATTTGTGCCCCTGAAAGGGACACAAACTGAAACATGGCATCTCCATGCAAAGCTTCATAATTCTGGGTAAAACGTTTTTCTGAATATCTTGCCTTTGAAATATTGTACAGAATGCTGTAACTGTTTATTTTAGTTTTATTTCATTAACATTTCATTTACTTTCTTTTTTGTTGTTCAATACAATACTCTTCTCAGGTCATTAATAGCTACAACTGTACATGTATATGAACGTCCTAGAAAAGAAACGAAATAAGAAAGTAGGTTTTTTTGTGTTCCTTTCTTTAGGATTTTGCAGAAAAATTTAATGGTATTTAAACCACTGATGAAATTAAATAAAAGGCAATTTTGAGTAGCAGCCAGCATTTTGTCTCTAGTGGCTAACTATCTGGTATTGTTTGCAGGGAAAAAATGTCATCACTAGAAATTCCTTTTTTTGGTATCGCTGAGGAAAACAGAAATTGGAGAAAAGCAATGTTGGTATAACCCAGATCTTGAGTGTGCATTCGTCCAAGTTGACATACAGTGATCACAACACGTCAGGTCTGAATTTTTAATTTGTTGGAATGAACCAGCCTTATTTGTTTTGTCTGTGTGTTTTATGCAATTTAAAGAATGAGTTTATTTATTGACTTGATTTTATCTTCTTATTCCTGGGGCTGTTTGAAGTACTTGGTCACTGGATGCTAGGTTTAAGTTCTTGTAAAACATGTCAAAAAAATTACGTTCTGTGCCAAACTCATTACGTACTAAAAACTGTTAGATGGAGGGAAAAGTTTCCCCTGTCTTAAACAATCAGAGCAGTGCATTTGTGGAGCCTTGAGAGGTGAGTAAACTTTACTCAAGCGAGTAAAGGTTACTCATAATTATACGTTGCCCGATTTTTCTGAAATTGGGCTGATTTACAGAGATTGATGCCAAAATATTTACAAGCTCTAGTCCTAGTTTTCCTCTGTAGGTTTATGCCGAACTTTTTAGCCGAAGAAAGTCAAAATACCTTTTTTTTAAAGCAGTTGCGCATGCTTTTTTCATGTTGAAGTAAGGAAACACTGGCATAGTTTGTTCAACGATGACAAGTACATGTAGAAGTTACAATGTTAATAGCACTTTGCCATTAACCATCATGTCCACTTTCCTAACTTACTCACATTTATACTATCACTTATAGACCAACAAATATATAACAGCTCAATGCATTTTTACAAAACTGCCATTTGACAGAATCTGTCACTATAAAAATGGCGCTTTCCTCTAAACAATTTAGCTACTGTAAATAACGCTAAAAATACATTCATCGCCTCACGGTTTTTTGTATTTTATTAACTTCTGTTAAAATGAACATGTGGATGAAATATAATAATGACCAAAGATTACGTCTTATGAAATAATTTAAATCCGTGAGTTATAACCTTTCAGATAAAGGGTTAAATGATTAAAATTGGCTCAACTCAGCCAGGCTTCTCAGGCCCAGTCTCCAGATACTCTAGAGTTAAGCCACCCATAACTTCATTGAGGTACTTGTCGTGCACAACGTGCAGGCGTTTAGTTGTCATATTGCAAAGTTGCTTGTATTTGGTAAGGTGAATGGCTTTGCCACTATGCCTGGCCTTCTTACATGCTCTATCATGTTTGTTCATTAGACGTTTCACGGAAGTGCTGATCCAGGGGAGGTGAAGCTTCTCGTTAGAGACACTTAAAATTTGTTAGCAAAGTGATTCAAGTGGTTCAAAAATAAAATGTTTGAACTACGGTAGGGGCCAGCAGTTAAATTGAGTTGAATAAATTATCAGTTAATGTTAAAAGCAAGTGATAAGTAACAACGCTATGTCTGAAAAGTGGCATAAAATCAATAAAGTTGTGAATTACCAAAATAAAATAGTGAGAAACAATCCTGTCTTTGACCGCCATGTTTTTGTTCCTTCTCAAAACCATTGATCATTGGGTTTTTACATAATTCCCATGATCAGTACACAATTCTGCTGTCAAGACCTTTTATGATCGTTTTGCAAGTTGTGAGAACATTGTTTGGATTTCATTTAAGAGACTGTATGGGAATTTCGAAGTATGCCCCCCCCCTCCTGTATTATTGAACTATTTTCTCTTTTTCACAATGGGCTGATAACTAAAAAATGTTTTTTTAAATTACTCTAAGTGGTTAGATCTAAAGGCTGTGGTGCAAAGAATGCTGCAGGGTGTCCAGTTCCTATTTTTTCCTATTTTTCCTATTTTTTGAGCCTGTTCCTATTTTCTCCTATTTTTATACTAAAACCTCCTATTTGTCCTATTTTTTACCTGGTGAAGCCAAAATTTGTAACAAAATTGAAAATGGAATTATAGTTGTATGAGTTTTTGAGTCAGATTTATCATAAATAGTTGCATTTGTTTTTTCCATGGCCTCTATATAATGCCTATTAGAGTTCTGTTAACAACTTTGTTATATTGTTACTTTTGTATAATTTTCTAGTGCACCTACATGTACATGTATTGTATATTGTGTTTATAGTTCTCATGACTATTGAATAGGTAATATTGTGCATAGCCCACTGAAACTGCATTTCAGTATATATATGTTCTTGCTCCCTTTTCTGTTCATCTTAGAAACTGAAAACAGGATCAAGTTGTCCTCTTATAACACAGGGCAGATAAATCATCCAATCAGCTTCTAGTTTATAAAATCAATCACTAGCTGATTCTGGATAATACATGAAAAGAACAGACTAAAGTTTAGTTTACAGCACTAGCTCCCTGGGTGAGCCCTTGTTAACAGCTATACCGAAGTAACTGATAGAGGATCCAATATTTTGGTTGCAAAACCGGTCTTGCACTCATAGCTAAGCAGAGTGTTATGTTCTTCTTAGAACTTAACCATGACACAATTACAATCTGGTACCAAATAGATCAGTGTCATTTTGCGTACACAGCTACCGATTTCAGGTTGATGGAAGGAAAGCTTTCCATATGACTTTTAAGTTTCAGTTTCGTAACCTTCAATGACAACGCAATCGTAAGAAATTTCTCTCCTACGGAATTTCACTCTTCAAAGCTTTTCAAAGATTTGCCGCCAACTTGAAGGGAATTTGCACATGATCACCTTTGATTATAGAACCATGCTTCACCTGTAGTCAAGCATATCAACAGTTCTGATTACACTTACTGAGCCAATAAACTAAACTTTAGCGATCATTTTCACTCCTTGTTACCTGTGAAAGTTGATATAAATCCTGCCAATCTAGAAGCTGAGGACTCGTAGCCTTTGTTATAACCCTGATGGGGTGCAGGGAGTCTATTTTTGTTGATAAAAGTACTACTGACTTTCCTATTTTTCTCCTATTTTTTAATACAAAGTTTCCTATTTTTCCTATTTTCTCAATCATGAGTTTCCTATTTTTATGAGCAACCATGCTGCTGGACACCCTGATGCCATCACGTATACTTGTTGCAATTTACATGATATTTTTCGACAATCAAACAGGAGTTAAGAAATTCCCAGTGATTTGACTCTTTTTGCCAACCATTTAAAATAGTGGGTTCTTTCAGGAAAAGTCAGTTTTTGATTGCCACCAGTTAGAAATCAAACAAGTCCAAAAAGAAGAGGATACACTACAAGTAATAACATGTTAACATGTGTACAAGAGATTGATTTTCAAGGTTAGATAGAGGATAAACTTCATTATCAGTTATGTGTGCATGGAAAAGGCTGGATTGAAGAGGTAAAATGTTGTGAGTAATTTTGACCTGGAACATGATCAATTAATATTTGATTCTTTTGAAATGTTGAATGGAAGCATGTAGATGTCAGGAATTTTTTCTTTGTTTTCAGTGAACCCATGATTTTAGAAGCTTTGGTCAAGTATGACAGAATAGGCATCTTTTGTGGAAAAAAGCTTCAAAGTTGTTTTGCACTTTTGAGATTCACCATGTTCACTTGCTGTGACAGTGACATACTGTTGCCCCTTCGGCGCTCACACAGTCGACTTGTGGCAAGTGTAGTATGGCTCTTAAGGGGCCTTAGTTAGTGGTGAAAGGAAATTCTAAATTATATTTCTCTTTCATTTCTGATACTGTGATAGCGCAAGAAATCTAAGGTTATCATCTGAAAGGTCTTGGATGCAACATTCTTTAGAGCTGTAGGTTTGTTGTGAGAATATGAAATGGCATTTTTGATTATTTAACCAGCGAAAGATTGATCAATGGATTCAATCCTCTTAGGAAACATCAAAACTAGGTTTTAAAGGCATTTATGTGACATAGGAAAGAGTTTGAAAACTGTGTTGACAACACATTTTGACAGTTGTCTGGCAGGATTGTGAATGTGAATGCGGTGTATTAGTAATATTAATGTGTTCGAGCTTAATCAGTAGAAATAAAATAAATTATCAACGGACTTAGACAAACATTACTAAAGAAACATAAACAGAAAAATAAAAAAAAATAAATGAAAGCTTAAAAGGACGTTGAGTGCACCACATGAAAGTGGATTAGCATATTTGAGTGGGTAGCATCATGGGATGTACACTGTACATGTACAAAGCATCTCCATTAACCCTCAACTTCGACTCACAATATATAATAGACAAGGAATGATAAAATAAATTTAGATAGCTTCATAAGGAAGGGGAACTAAACTAGATTTTTCATTAAAGGTGTAAATTTGTAAAATAGAAAATTCCATATTTTAGTGGCAAAAGCCTCATATCTGAAAACGTGAAAATAGAGCTTGATTTTAAAGGCAAGAAAAAACAGAGTAAAAATAAAACTGTTTTCCTAATCTCCAGGTTGTTATTATGCATGCGTCACATTTATGTAGCCAGCATTTGTTTGACGTTCCACTAAGAATATTAAAATGGAATGCACAGAAGGCAGTTTGATCATGTGCATTTTGACCTTCTACTCCTCGTAATCTGATCATGCGTGTTTTGACCATCTGTCACGAGAAACCTACGCAAAGCACTCACTGCGTTGGAACAAAAGCGTTTGACCTTTGATCTTTGTCACCCGCACTCTGTAACCTTTGGTTATTACTAGTTTTAAAGTCGTGTGAAAGGATTGGACTTCCTGGAGATTGAACGCCACTTATTCACTTTTACTAAGCAGTTCTTAGCTTGACAATGGACAAAACATTACAGGATTCTCCTTGACTTGACAGTGGTTCTTGATGTTCAGTTGTACTATTCCTAGTGGGTATTTACCGAAGTGTTGACAGCAGGGAGCCATTTTTTTGGGATGTCATAATCAAAACAAATTTTCCCATCAACAACTAACTCATCTCCTACAAAGGTAGCTTTGCGGCTTGGTGTTTCCTGTTTTATCTTCTTCATTACAGGGGTAAGGACCTTTTCCTAATTTCTTGTATGTGCTATTCACTCTTTGAAATACGCAAGTTTTTCAGCCAATAGTGAACCATCCAGACGTGATCTATGTCAGCATGGCATGTAAAGCAAGCAATGAGAGGTCAGTCTCTGCTTCTGTTTGGTTTGCCAAGACAGTGTGCCCTGCAAAGCTTCATATTCAAGACTTCTTCCTGTAGCAGCTTTAAATTTTGGGTTGAGACATCGCGTACCTCTGACCAGTGACAAACAATCTTCGTCTCTGGACTCATTGACTCAGTAGAAAATTAGATTTCATCAACAACTAGACGACTATAGATGTGGACTGCTTGTTTTCCCAGTTCATGTTGGATCTACAAGGTCATCATGTTCATCTTGGGTCTGTGTGCTCAAGGGAATCTTTGGTGTCGCAGGGGTTTCAATAAGCACTGACGAAAGACGTTGGTTACTTTGCTCAGAGGAGTTGGCTACTTTTCTCCCCGAAAGAAGAAGCAACTAGTGCTCACAGTGTCATAAACAAAACATATAATTATTACAAAATTTGAATGAAAACGTAAAGGCTCACTGGTTTTGAGTTATGTTTTAGTTGCAAATGCTGTATTTCAGTCAATTTTCTACATGTTTCTTTGGAGATTCATGCAGCCATCTTGGGCTGCTTCGGTGGAATCCGTGTTGGTGCCAGAGCTGCTTATCCTCATCTTTGTTACCCATGTTCGTAACTGCTGTGGCAATGTCAGTGTATCATGTAGATAAAAAGGCAATGTTCACTGTGTTGTGTTGATTTCTCAAAGCCAGGTTTGTGGAGCTTTCAAAAGTGCATCTAGCTGCAACAGCTCATGCCCCTTCTCCCCCCTTGTGTGAGTTTCATTCTCACTGTAATTGATTAGGAAAATTGCTCAAAAAAGTTTTTTATGACTGAATAATACCAGCCTCTTCTTGTTGAGGAGGAATTTGCACTGCACTTTTAATTTGTTTTATCTTAAAGCAGTATAGACAAAAATATTTACCACTCTAAATTGCACAGCTAAGCTTTGCCTTGGTTAGCAAACTACTTCTCAGTTTCAAAATTCTATATATAATTATAAAACATTGTCAAGATAGACCCTATCCTACAGTATTGCTAGTTGTGATGTCCAGTAAGCAAATATTCATCAACACTACTTAGTAGACTAAGTTTAAATTTGATACGTCCTGACTCTATGGAGCTATATCTTTGTCAGTTTTCAACAATTAAGTCCTCTCAAACTGGGTCACTTCACTGATTGTAACCCTTTGGTGACTACAACATGTTTCTCTTTTTAGTGAGTTTA